GCACTTTTCGGCATCACTATGGGTGGCAGCTTTGGGACAGTATTGTAGATTCAACATGAAATTAGTAGAATGTTACCTGTAGGAGGGAGCTTCAGCAGCGGGAAGCATTTGGAAAATTTAGCGTTCTTTTAAGAGATTAAAAGATGATTTGACAGGGGTGTTTAAAACTACAAAGGTGTAAGACAGACTTTGTAATCAGTTTGGTGTGTAGCAGCAATACAGCGGTGGTGAGTACTGCCAATTAGTTGATTAATAAAATGACTTCCATGTGTTCAAGCCAGATTAGTTATTCTGAATTGGAGACAGGCATTCAACACTCTGAAGCGCTTAGTACTTGACTTCTGATTTATGAAGAATCAAGCTTTAATTTTAGCATTAGATAACAGGTGAAAATGCAAAATGATCCAATTTCTGATGTTTTATTTGTGTCCTGTCATGTAGTCGGTTTTTGGTATTCACTTGTAGGAAGTGAGCATTGTTGGCTGGCCAACATTTTATTGCCTGTGCCCAGTTGTCCTTGAAAGGTGATGGTGAGTTACCACCTTGAACCACTGTAGTCCATGTGCTGCAGATAGACCCACAATGCCGTTCAGAGGGAATTCTAGGATTTTGAAGAAATTATGACATTGAAGAATCAGCGAAGCTTTGCCAGGTCAGGATAGTGGGTAACTTGAAGGGGACCTTGCAATGATGGTGATCCCATGCATCTGCTGTACTTGTTCTTCAAGATGGAAGTGGTCATGAGTTTGGAAAGTGCTGTTTAAGGATCGTTGGTGAGTTTCTACAGTGTATCTTGGGGGTAGTAGTATACACTGCTGCTACTGAGTGTTACTAGTCGGGGAGTCGATGCTTGAGAATGTGGTGCTAATCAAGTGGACTGCTTTGTTCTGGTTAGCGTCAAGCTTCTTGATTGTTGTTGGAGCTGCACCCATCCAGGCAAATGGGGAGTATTCCATCACACTCCTGACTTGTGCCTTGTAGATAGTGGACAGGCTTTGAGAAGTCAGGAGATGAGTTATTCGCTGCAGGATTCCTAGCCTCTGATCGGCTTGTGTAGCCATTTAATTTATAATGGCAAGTCCAGTTCAGTTTCTGGTCAATGATAACGCCCCCAGAATGTTTATAGTGGGGGATTCAGTGATGGTAACACCATTGAATGTTATGGGATGATGGTTAGAACAACTCTTACTGGAGATGATCACTGCCTGGCATTATTTTTTTGGCTTGAATGTACTTGCTGTTTGTCAGCCTAAGCTTGAATATTGGCCCGTTCTTGCTGCATTTGAACATAGGCTGCCTCAGTATCTGAGGAGGGAATGGTACTGAACATTGTGAAATCATCGGTGAGCATCCCTACTTCTGACCTTTGATAGTGGGAAGGTCATTGAAGCAGTTGAAGATGATTGGGACTAGGACAGTACCTAAGGAACTCCTGCAGAGATGTCCTGGAGCTGAGATGAGTGACCTGCAACAACTACGACCATCTTAGTGCCAGGTATGACTCCAACCAGTGGAGAGTTTACCCCCTATACCCATTGATTCCAGTTTTGCTAGGCTTTTAGATGCCATATCTGGTCAAACCCGGCCCTGATGTCAAAGGCTGTCACCTTCTCCTCACTTCTGGAATTCAGCTGTTTTGGCGGCACAGTGGTTAGCACTGCTGGGGACACAGGTTCGATTCCGGCCTTGGACGACAGTTTGTGTGGAGTTTGAAAGTTCTCCTAGTTTCTGTGTGGGTTTACTCTTGATGCTCCACGTTTCCCCCAAACCCCAAAGACATGCAAGTTAAGTGGATTGGCTAGGCTAAATTATTGTGTCCAGAAATGTATGGAGTAGGTGGATTAGCCATGACAAAAACCCTAAGTGGGTTTACGATGACAGGGTGGGACTGGGTCTTTGGAGGGTCGATGCAGATTCAGTGAGCCAAATGGCCGTTTTCTGCACTGTGGGTTTTTGTGATCCTCTTTTATGTTTAAACTATGGCTGTAATGAGGTCAGGAACTGTGGCCGAGGCAGAACCCAAACGAGGTGTCAGCAAACAGGTTATTGCTGAGCAAGTCTGCTTGATAACTGTTGATGACAACTTCCGTCTCTTTCTTGATGATCGAGAGTTGACTGATGGGGAGGTAATTGGCTGGGTTGAGTTTGTCCTGCTTTTTGTGAACAGGTCATACCCGGGCAATTTTCCACATTGTCGAGTAGTACCAGTATTGTAGTGGAACAGCTTGGCTAGAGGTGCGGCAAGTTCTAGTGTACAAGTCTTCAGTACTATTGCCAGAATGTTGTCAGGGCTCATAGCTTTTGCAGTATCCAATGTCTCAAATTGTTTCTTTATCAGTGGATTGAATTGAATTGGCTGAAGACTGGAATCTGATGCTGGGGACCACTGGAGGAGACTGAGATGGATTACCCATTCTGCACGTCTGGATAAAGATTGCTTCTGCCTTATCGTTTTCTTGGAATCTTGAGGAACATCCAATATTTCTTCAGTTAGTTTTCAATAATTAGCCCAGTTCTTAACAGCCCTTTAGTGAGCAAAACAAATAATTAAAATATTTGGTTTCACAGTTGACTGATCAGTCCTGCACTGGAGCTGCCCTGATCTGCCTCAATCACAAAGACTAAAATGATACGCCTTTGGGGTTGGTGTAATGCCAACAAAGATTCTGAGCAAATGGTCAGTGAAATGCTTTTTCTTACTAGAATAAATGGTTCTGAATAGACAATTCCAGCTAAATGTGAGACGTCCATTATGAAATGAGGTTGGAAAAGATTAGGACTGTTTTCCTTGGAACAGGGATAACCTCATGGAGGTTTTCAAAAGTATTGGTTTAGATAAAAAAAAATCTATTTCTTCTGTAATTAGATTATTAATAAGATATTATAGGTGTAAAATAATTGTGAAATATCTAGATTGGAAATGAGTGTTCTTTTCCATGGTATTGGAATCTGTGATGCTTTACCCAATAAGATGATGGAGGTTGATCGCATAAATTGTTTAAGAAAGAAATTGTTCAGGCTCTTACAAATGAGGAGCTTAACCTGGGCTATGTTAAGAGAAAGGCTGTGTTTTCTGCCAATTTAGTTGCAGGAAGTGCCCTCACTACAAATGCAAGTCCTGCCATTTAAAAGTCAGTATTTTACAATTTAAATTTTCGATTGGATCCATATGAACCTGACATAACATTGTTAACTAATTGATATTGCAGCCAAACGTTCTCCACCATAGGGTTTGCAGGGTGGTAAGGGGAGTGGCAAATGCGGACTGGCAACGATGAGGTAGCAGCAGTGGATTCACCAATTCTGGTTCCAGTGCAGACCTGGTGCATCACGGTGACATTAGCACCACCAAATTCCTGTTGAAGTGCATTGGCAGGAGATACACTGTGAATAAGAAAATTAAAGTGGGCTGTGTGGAAGTAAGCATGACTGTTTTATCAATGGACTGGTAGATTGAATGGCCTCCTTCTGTGCTGTAACATTTACATGCAAAGGACCAAACACAGTCTGTACTTTGTCCACATCGGTTATTTTCAGATGGTCACCATGGTTTGCCAGCTGCAAGCATTTTTAAAATTGAATTCCATTGCCTTTCATTACAGGCTGACTCTGTCACGAGAGAACTGTCAAGGTTGTAACCTGTCTTTTTAAATGGAAACTGTTCTTAAGTTGCTACAATATAACTATGGTATAAAAACTGAAATATCACTTATTGCTCACAGATGAGAATGAAAAAGCAATTATTTGCCCAGATGGAGCATCTGAGTGTCCGGATGGCTCAACATGTTGCATACTTCCAAATCAGCAGTGGGGGTGCTGCCCTTTACAAAAGGTATAGTTGATCATTTAATATAATTTAGTTTTAGCTCTGAGGTATTGGGTATTTTAATTAAATGATTGAGTGTGATAAATTGTGAATTGCAGTCCTATAAATCAGTCAATTAATTCAGTAAACTTGTGGACAAACTATGGCAAAAGCCCGGCTGCTCAGGGAAGGGAGTTTGACAGTTATGTCCCATGTTATTCAGTAAGTCTTAACAGTTTGACCCATGTTTAACTGTCTTGATGCAAACAGTTGCCCTTCTCAATAAATGTAATCTTTCCAGTACTGCCTGTGTCCCAAGGCAAAACAATTCCAAAATAACTTTACAGGAAAGCTGGTTAAAAAATTTGTTTTCTGGTTTATAACAAATTCTTTTGACTTTTTTTTTATATCTTGTTTTCAAGTCTCATGATAGGGAGAGAGGAGATGTGATTACAGTGGGTAATTTGTCTTGTAACTTTAATGATGTGATGCTTGGAAATTTAGAAGAAAATGTTAAAGATAGTTGCCTCTTGCCTGTAAAAAAAAACTAATGGACTAGCAAATACATATGGGTTATTTATCAGCTTTTTGATGAATAAATAATTACTTCATGCTGAGAACACAGAATAAGCTCCTGTACATTTTGCTTAATCACTCCTTGTATAGGCTGTATGCTGTGAGGATCGTTTGCACTGCTGCCCTTCTGAAACCACATGTGACCTGAAGCAGTCCAAGTGTGTGTCTCAGTTTGGCGTGATGGAAATGTGGAAGAAGTTTCCAGCTCTCAGGAGATTTATAATGAAGGATACTAACGAAGGTATTGCAAACTGTAATTAATAGAAGGATTAATCGAGATTAGATCTTGTTAATTAATTTAAAAGCTTTCTCATAATACTTCTCTCAAGGGAAAACAAATTCCTAGGATAATAATTTGAAAATCTTTTTTCCTGCTGATCATTGTCTTTGTACCTTAATATGCTTATGTCAGTTCAGTAACTGAAGCCATATTGATCTAAGACAAGGATATGAAAGATACCTTTTTTCCCTTGCAGCTCAAAATCACTCCAGGTATTAGAAAGATGTTAGAGGGTCCAGTTATCATTGCATCCTGAACATTTTTGGATGGTCCGTGGAGAGTGGAGATAAGATATTTGTGTTGACTATTTTCTAAGAACTGCAAAAGTCCAATCGATTAGTTGGTCTATACAACTTTTTTGTAAGTTTGCAGTGAAAGAAACTACCAACTGATGTTTGGTACCAAGTCAAGAGAAATGTGTATACGGAAAAGATGTGCATGGGACTTAAAATGTTAACTATTTCTCTCTCCAGAGATGCTGCCAGATCTAAGTTTCTTCAGCACTTAGTTTTTATTGCAATCCATTGCCCTTAGCTTGATAGGCTCACTGCAGGAACTTGGCCAGCTTCCTCTGAATGCTTGGAGTGAATTGGTATTCACCATCTGTGCCGACGTCTTAGGAGGGAGAAACTATGAGTATTCCCTGCGGTGAGGGAGTTCTAAACGAAGAGGTATAAAATTATAGTTAGACAAAGACCTTTCCAGAGTGATGTCAGAAGTAGTGCTTCTCACACAACATAATGGAGAGCTGAAACACTACCCAAAGAGTTGATCATGTTTGGTTCATCATAAACTTCAAATAAGCTTAATAGACTTTTATTACACAGGAGTATCTTCTGTTTTGACCACGAATAACAATTGAAGTGCTCATAAATTTCATTGCTACTAAGATTAAGCATATCTGTTAATTTCCCTTTGCTGCTCTTCTTCATTCCTCGAGACCACCAGGCAAAACATCCTCCAAGATTCCCTCAGACTTTCCTAGCCCTGAATGCTTTCGTCATTCCCTAAAGTCTATACTGCCTCCAATTGTTGTAAGTCCCACTTCCTGCTCCTTCAAATGCAATTCCACCAAAGTGCTGATAAATTAACTTCCTTTCCTGACCCCAGTGTTAGCAGATATTGTTAACAGTTCTCCCTGTTTGGGTACTGTTTCCTTCCTCGTCAAATTTTCCAATTATCAGTCCTCTCTTTGGATCAAATGCTTGGCATTTTTCGTCAATTCTTGCAATTACCACCCCATTGCCAGTTTCCCTTTCCTTTGGACTCCTTGAACATCCTGCCATCTTCCAACAGCCATGCCCTTCTCTCCTGGAATTTCATTTTGGAATTCCGCCAATCAAATTTCCATTCCACCATGTAGGAGCAAGTTACTGATGCTGAAATCTGTACTGAAAACAAAAAATGCTGAAGATCACAGCGGGTCATGCAGCAAGCATGGAGAGAGAGCAAGCTAACGTTTTGAATCCAGATAACTCTTCATCAGAGCTGATGTGAAGTGTGGAGGGGACAGAATGGTGGGGGAGAGGGAGTAGTGCCGGGGTAGAAAGAATGTTGATGGTTCAGATTAAAGGTTCAGAATGTGAGAATGGCAGAACAATGGTGTGTCTAACTGCCAAACTGGAAAGAACAGACAGTCCCACTGGATTGAGGGGTGGGGAGAGAGAGCATGGTGACAGAGAATATAACAGGTAAAGCTAAAAGAAAGGGAAGAAATGCAAGTGGGTTCATAATTTAAAGTTTTTGAATGCGTTTGTTCCAGAACCATGGTGGAATGAATGTTAACATCACAATAACATTCAGTGAGAAAGGTCAACTATCCCTTCTCATCCATTGAGTCTTTGAGACTGTTGTTAGAACAGCGAACAGCACAGTACAGGCCCTTCGGCCCACGATGTTGTGCTGAACTTTTACCTTAATCCTAAGGTCTATCTAACCTCCACCCCTACTTTATACTATCATCCACATGCCTATCTAATAGCCACTTAAATGCCCCTAATGAGGCCGACTCCACTACCCGCTCCGGCAATGCATTCCACGCCCTGACCACTCTCTGAGTAGAGAACCTACCTCTGACCTCTCCTCAATATCTACCTCCACTCACTTTAAAACTATGCCCCCTCGTAATAGCTACCTCCACCCTAGGAAAAAGTTTCTGGCTCTATCTATACCTCTGATCATTTTGTACACCTCTATCAAGTCACCTCTCATCCTTCGTTGTTCTAAAGAGAAAAGCCCTAGCTCTCTCAACCTTTCCTCGTAAGACCTTCCCTCCATTCCAGGCAACATCCTGGTACATCTCCTCTGCACCTTTTCCAATGCTTCCACATCTTTCCCGTAATGAGGTGACCAGAACTGGACACAAGACTGGAGATCTGGCCGAACCAGGCCTTTGTATAGCTGGAGCATAACTTCACGGCTCTTGAACTCAATCCTTCTATTAATGAAAGCTAACACACCATACGCCTTCTTAACAACTCTATCCACCTGGGTGGCAGCTTTCAGGGAACTGTGGACATGAACCCCAAGATCCCTCTGCTCCTCCACACTGCCAAGAATCTTTCCGTTAACCCTGTATTCTGCTTTCAAGTTTTTCCTTCCA